GATCCGTATCTATTTGACGGAACGATATTTTAAGCTAATTTTTTTTTTACTGCAGATACAACTTATCGAGCTTTACAAGATAGGATCACTTTCGATCAATTTAAGAGGCTTACGTGTTTTCGTGGTAGAAACCTCGTAGAATAGGTCATAAAAGGCAGCGAGAAGATAAGACAAATCTCATAAATTTTTTCATTTTATAGACCAACTCTTCTTTCATCTGTGCGACTAGCAATGGGTGGTATTCAAAGCAGTGTATTGGGTCTACTAGTAATCAACGGACCGGATGACGTTCACGTAATAAAATACGAACACGGTGCCCCCAATCAATTGTCCAATCGTTTTGGATGGTCTAGTCACAATTGCTACTGCAAGCGACCCAAGACAGGCCTTGTTCTTTATCCGTCGAGCACGCAGCACAAGAATACAGTTCTTCTGGTTTGCGAGGACTGTTACCACTACCAACCTGGAAGAGGCTCACATCATCAACAATTGCTCGATTGGTATTACGGAATCTATGGAAAATCAAAACAATTTCAATGGGTTTCAGGATTCTCTCAGAAAGTTGATGGCAGTTTAGAATTTAATAGTAAATCGTGCAATCTCGTTGGACCTTATGCAGCCGGTAATATCACTTGTTTGGAGTTTGAGCAGAACATCATTCGGATAGTCGTAAATGGAAAATTGGCAAATTATGAAGTGTGACATAATGTTTCGTTACTTGTACTTAATTGCAAAATCAAGAGTCGTATTTTTTTTTCTGATATTTTTTCATTCAACTCTTTGGTATGGATTCGGATGACCGTTTGATATCAGTACATGCCACTTCGCCTCTTACTATTTGTTCTACATAATTCGTTCTCAATGCATTTTATTCCAATTACATTTCATCCCTTTGCATTTTTTCCCCCTCACAATTCGTCCCAATAGTATTTCGTTCTCTTAAATTTCATTTCAAATTATGATTATTCATTTTCATTTGACATATATCCTGAAAAATATATAATTAAGTTCTCTCAAGCACTTTTTAGCACCTCAATTGTATCCATTTCCTTAAACTATTGTGCGAAATCGTTCTAGATGATAACAACTACCAATGTACATGATCATGTGCAAAAAGGAAAATCATTTTCGATAAATCCATAGAAAAAAGAAAGGACATCTATTCATTTTGCATTATTCTTTTTAAATCGCGATGATTGACTAGATACAATAATAAGTATTTACACAATACCTAGATTTGAATCACTATAGAGTTTCATCTTTGTAGAATTATGAGATGAAATATGAATGGGACCAAGTAAAACTGAGACGAACTGTAAGGGAAGAAAATGTAACAAGACAAAAAGTAGAAGTTAGACTGTAAGAGTACTTGAGCTCGTATTGATATAAACCCTTATTCAAAATCCCTTACACAAAAAGTCAATAAATAAAAATGAGACTGAGAGTTCAGCTATCATCGTCATAGAAGGATTCGAGATATTTGGATTGGAAAAGATCATATAAGGGCAAATTTATGGATATCCAACCATTCTTCTAGGAAAAGTTTTTTGTTTTGAATTTTTTCGAGCTAGATAGATGTATACTCATTTGAAAAAGTGTTTGGAAAAAAAATTATAATATTCAATACAATAATCTCGAAATTCAAGGTCATTCAATAGAAACATGTATATGTGAATCTCAGACGCTTGTTAATTCGTGAATTTCTGTAATTTTACTAGCGTAATCTCTTTTGAAGAAGTCCAAAATAAATTCAAAATGAACTTCTGGCTTCTTCATATCATAACATATTACAAATGAGTTATTAATTTTGATTGATTTATTTTGCTCAGAGAAGTTAACTGTAATTTCTCGTTGACATCCCGTTTCCTAGCATCTTTCGAATACTTTGAACTTTTTATTTATACTGACAACTTGGATTTTTTTCTATTCCTATCTGCTTAGCAATACTCAACATGAGGCAGATAATAACACTATTGAAATTTAACCTTGAGAATTATAGTGTAATCATCAAGATTGTAATTCTGCTGGAATATATGTGTTCAGTTCGCGCATAGACATTTATCCGTATAGGGTTATAAGAAGGACGTTTCGTTTTAGAAAATCTTCGTATAAAATAAACGGTCAATGAAATATTCATGGAAGAGACTTCTTGAAATAGGATGTATTCAACTCAAAAGAGCGTGATATTCAATGATAATTGATTGTTTCGTTTTCTAAAGGTTGAAACTCATGTATCACACGAATGCCTTAGATTGTTCCCGCAAATATAATGTTACAACTTGGTTAAGAAAGAGACTGTATATAACCTGACGACTAAAGTTGTGTCTCTCTTGTGTTGAGAACTGTGATCTTGGTCCATTCGACTTTTCTTTGGTTTCGAGAAAGGAAACATGAATAGCAGGATTTGTTTTTCTATAAGCATTGGCAATTTGGAATCGATTCTTTTTTTGGAAAGTCATAAAAATTATTTGGGTATGAGAGAAATATATTTTTGAGAGCGTGGCGTATCTAACAGTGAATTTTAGAACAACATCAACTCCATCTCCGGCGTTCTTGGCGTGTCCAGTTGCTATAATAGTCTAACAGACATCCAAATAAGGATCCATCTTGCAATAAACCAAATTGATCATAGTGATATGGTTTCTGAGATGCGTGCTTACACCGTCCATAAAATAATCTGGCAGTGTTTGATTCGTCGCTCAAAGAAAAACATTAATGCGAACAGTAGTCAGTTTTGCTATACTCTCTTAAATGCGTTAGAAACCGCGATCGTTGGGATAGTAATTTGTCTTTGATCATTCTCTCAAATAAATACTTCAGATAAATAAAGTCTTTATCTTTTTAAAACAAAATGTAGAAGACATAATGTGAAACAGCTCACTTCTCTTTGATAGGATAACACATGCTTGAGAAGCATTTCATCAGTACATTACGAGAATACTTAATGACTGCTGATCAGACCAATCCTGAAGACAACACTGGTATGAAATGCAAAAGTTTTGTTTTACTTCTTTGAAGTATCTACTAATAGTTCTGAAAGGAATGAAAATTTCCCACTGGATTCATAGATATACTTGACTGGGAATATACGAATATTTGCTATTTTTGTATAGATTAATCAATGAGACTCATAATGTCAACATATCTGCAATTAGTCTCGTAGAAATTGTTAAACAAATACATGATGGAATCATTCAATTTGCAGTGCATAAAAGCATTCTTCGCTTAGCGGACGGAAAAAAGATCTATCCCAACTATTATAGTCTATACTCTGACTACTGTACATATTCGATCGAAGAGAATAATAATATAAGGAAGCTATCCACGACAACATCATTGAAACAATGTTTCGGATAATGCAGGATATTCTCGAACACAGATGCATTCATGGGTCATTGAACGAAGCATTTTCTCTTCTGATAGCTAGCATATCGATGAGATTTTAATAAGAAAAAATGTATCTCATCTAATGGTGGAATCAGAAAAGACCGTGACACGGGAAAGTATGGATGTAAGGGCTTAGTCCTTGATCATGTCGGCAGCATTGTTCTAAAAAATGACATTAGCAATAGTTTATCGCAGTGAATCGCTGCAAGACACTGTATCATTAAATTTTTATTAATTATTTTGTGAAAATTAATGCAAAAAACTCTAAGCGAAAAAATCGACTTCAATTCATCGTCGTTGTCGTATGTGTAAAACTTCTGGTGTCGTTATCAGCTGAAATACATGTTGTTGTTTTTTCTGTTGTCGAAGTTCTTCTGAATGAGCCAGAGTACACCGTTGTTCACATTTTTCACAATAAATCAATGAAGGACAATGAATACAAGAAAACAGAATGCCTTCAACATCGTTGTGACAACCATCGCACCTGAAAATGAATTTTTATCATAGACCTATAGGCTAACTGTATCAAACTATCTACCTGATGCCAGTATGTACGACTCTTTGTTTATTTTCTAGGCGTGGTAAGTCATTTTTAATTTGTTCTAGAGGCCTGTTGGTGATTGGTATATAAGGCTCAGCCTGATCCCAGTTGAAGTTGTTGCCACATCCCGACTGCTGATCACCTCCATGATAATTTCGTCCACATACCATACTACTGCATCCTCCCATGTGTTGTGTGACTCGTTTACAATGTGGACAAAGACGACAATTCTGAGCTTTGAAAGCTTCATCGGCCTTTAATTCGTTATAACGACGTTGCAGTTCTTCGTTTCGCTGAGTATTCGCCGCTAGCTGTCTTTCATATTCGTCTAATTGAGCACGATAAGTAGCATCTTGCTGTGCTCGAACTCTCCAATAATTGCCACGCTCTTCAAAGTGAAAAAAAAAGTTCAGTCTGAGTTTGATCGGATTATATTTATTTTACCTGTATTACACCAAACAAACCATCGTTGTGTTATTTGTACTACTTGCTGACAAGTCGTTCGATAGTGATATTGCTGATTACAAATCGAACAAAATTCATTGGTACAAGAGCGACATACGACTCGAAAACGTTCATTTGGGTTTCGCGCTTCCACTACCCATTTACAATCTCGATTCGGACATTTGATGATGCCACGCGCATTGTTGACAAAATTATTGAATGTCTTCTGTATTTGATACTCATGAAATTTTCTTTTTTGGCCTTGAGATACTCGCAATTGATTAATTTCTCCATCCTGTAATTGATAATTACATATACCACACGTAAGTACTTCATTGCTATTCATCTTAGTTGTACATGATCGTTCAAAGCAGCTGTAGCACAGTTTGTGAGTGTCCTGACAGCCGAAAACGAAAATATCATCGTACGGACATGCTTCCAGGCAAACACCACAGTTAAGAGTAGGCACTTCGAATGGGAATTTATCTTCTAGAATCGAAAAAAAGAAATATTCGAAATGACGATCGATAGCGATCAATGTTTCCGATCAATCAAAACGGTGAAAAATGGCTCATTTTTCGACCATTTCTTTCTCGTGATCCTCATGACGTTTCGCTAGCACGTTCTATTCAGTTTTCGAGAGATCCAAGTGGATTTAAGAGAAAAGTCGTTGAAATTTTCTTGACTGAAAACTGAGCAGAGTGCTATTAATCAAAAGACTTGAAGCACAAAGGAAGCGATCGATTTCGAGAATCGGATCGATTGATCTTCGACATTATAAGAGAACGCACCGAATGCAGCCAATGTATCGACAATTTCATGAGGATCAAGCACTCGTCGATTCTGTCTTTGTTGTTCGATGTAGAAACGAACTTGTACTGGCGTAAAAGGATATTTCAATTTCGGTAGGATGAAATCTAAAAATGCTTGTTGTCGTTGTTGTTCTGAAATATTCCGACAATATCGAGAATGGTCATCCAATTGATAAAATTTATATAGACATTGACAATATTCACATGGAGCCATATTGTCTGGATCGCATGATGTCACATGTTGTTGAAATGCTGCCATTGTTTGAAACTCAACATAGAAAAGGCATCGAGGGCATTGAGGGCGTCTTTCTATAGTAACAAGTACCAATAAACATGTAATTATATCCAGTTCTAGTGGTAAACATGAGATATCATATTTCGACAGTTGATAATCGCAAATATATGCACAACAACGTGGATCTGTCTTCGATTCGATATGTTCTTTCATCGATCTTTGCACACATGTAATACACAACAGGTGATGAAATTGACATGGCATTACATA